TCTCGTATCCTCAGGGGGCAAACCCAAAAATTGAAGCTACAAGGGGAGCATTTTTGAGCCTTTCAGTGGAAGGGGGTAAATTGCAGAATTTGGGGCATGTGACCCCGTGCCCAGGAGGTGCCTAAGGGGTACCTGAATAAGGGATATGGTATGGAGTATCCAAAATGCCAAGATTGGAGGCGCAGAAAAATCACAACAGGAAAAGGAATGGCAAATTGGAGATTTGACACCATTTCAGGTGTATCCAGTGGGCGGGGGTCACATGGAAAGGGTCAGAGTAGCTGAGCATGAATCCAGTATCCAGATGCATAGTACAATGTAGTTCCTAGCACGGATATGACAAGGGTTTCTGTGATGCTAGCTGCAGGTTTACAAGGCTATGGGGAAGTTGTGCGTGATAATTTGGAGTGACTTGGCAGGCCCGTGAGGGCCCGCGGAGCCCGTAAAGCCCGTAGTCAGGGCCCCTAAGAGCCCGTGAAGGCCCAGCCCCGTAGAGCCTGTAGAGCCCGTAGAGCCCGTAGAGCCGTTAGAGCGCGTAGAGCCCGTAGAGGAGCCTGTAGAGCCCGGGCCCGTTAAACCCGGGCCCGTATAGCCCGGACCCGTAGAGCCCGTGGGGCGCGTGGAGCCCGTGGAGCCCGTGGAACCCGTGGAGTCCGTAGAGCCCGTAGAGCCCGTAGAGCCCGTAGAGCCCTGGCCCGTAAAGCCCTGGCCCGTAGAGCCCGTAAAGCCCGGACCCGCAGAGCCCGTGGGGCGCGTAGAGCCCGTGGAGCCCGTAGAACCCGTGGAGTCCGTAGAGCCCGTAGAGTCCGCATAGCCCGTAGAGTCCGTAGAGCCCGCAGAGCCCGTGGAGCCCGTAGGGTCCGGACAGCCCGTGGTACGGGCCCGCGTGGGCAGTTTGTGAGACGAGATGTATGAAGAGATGTATGATGGTGGGTGTAAGAGATGAGGTGTGTAAGATGAGATGTAGCGCTGAAGTTTCTGCAAGGGTAGGATCAGATGAGTATAGAAATGCAGCACTGTGACATGAAATATGTTCTGCATTGCAGTGACCCACCGTGCGCGCCGCAGCTCCAGGAGTTGAGTGAAGCGTTTTGGGTGGGAGTGGAGTGAGCGCGGGATGAGTTGAATGAGATCAGTTAAGTGATTTGAGTGGAGCGAGATGACTTGTGTGGGTTTCGTTGTGTGAAATGAGTTGAGTGAGATGAGTTGTGTGAGGTGAGTTGAGTGAAATGAGTTGAGTGAATTGAGTGGTGTGAGGTGAGTGGAGTGAGATGAGTTGCGTGAGATGACTTGAGTGAGTTGAGTTGTTAAGATGGTTGAACTGTGTGCGCTGACTTGAGTCAGGTGAGTTGAGTGAGATGGGTTGGGTAAGATGAGTTGAATGAGTTGAACTGTGTGTGATGAGTTGGGTGAGAATTGAGTGAGATGAGTTGTGTGAGATGAGTTGTGTGAGCTGAGTTTGTGTGAGATGATTTGTGTGAGATGAGTTGTGTGAGATAAGTTTGTGTGAGATGAGTTGTGTGAGATGAAGTGTGTGAGATGAGTTGAGTCAGATGAGTTGAGTGGGTTGAGGTGTGAGATGATTTGTGTGAGATGAGTTGTGTGAGCTGAGTTGTGTGAGATGAGTTGTGTGAGATGAGTTGTGTGAGCTGAGTTTGTGTGAGATGATTTGTGTGAGATGAGTTGTGTGAGATGAGTATGTGTGAGATGAGTTGTGTGAGATGAGTTGTGTGAGATGAGTTGTGTGAGATGAGTTGAGTGGGTTGAGGTGTGAGATGATTTGTGTGAGATGAGTTGTGTGAGGTGAGTTTGTGTGAGATGAGTTTGTGTGAGATGATTTGTGTGAGATGAGTTGTGTGAGATGAGTTTGTGTGAGGATGAGTTGAGTCAGATGAGTTGAGTGGGTTGAGGTGTGAGATGAGTATGTGTGAGATGAGTTGTGTGAAATGAGTTCCTGTGAGCTGAGTTGGTGTGAGATGATTTGTGTGAGATAAGTTGTGTGAGGTGAGTTTGTGTGAGATGAGATGAGTTGTGTGAGATGAGTATGTGTGAGATGAGTTGTGTGAGATGAGTTGTGTGAGATGAGTTGTGTGAGATGAGTTGAGTGGGTTGAGGTGTGAGATGATTTGTGTGAGATGAGTTGTGTGAGATGAGTTTGTGTGAGGTGAGTTTGTGTGAGATGATTTGTGTGAGATGAGTTGTGTGAGATGAGTTTGTGTGAGATGAGTTGTGTGAGATGAGTTGAGTGGGTTGAGGTGTGTGAGATGAGTTGAGTCAGATGAGTTGAGTGGGTTGAGGTGTGAGATGAGTATGTGTGAGATGAGTTGTGTGAGCTGAGTTTGTGGGAGATGAGTTGTGTGAGATGAGTTGTGTGGGTTGAGGTGTGTGAGATGAGTTGAGTCAGATGAGTTGATTGGGTTGAGTTGTGTGAGATGAGTATGTGTGAGATGAGTTGTGTGAAATGAGTTCCTGTGAGCTGAGTTGGTGTGAGATGATTTGTGTGAGATGAGTTGAGTGGGTTGAGGTGTGTGAAATGAGTTGAGTCAGGTGAGTTGAGTGGGTTGAGGTGTGAGATGAGTTTGTGTGAGATGAGTTGTGTGAGATGAGTTGTGTGAGCTGAATTTGTGTGAGATGAGTTGTGTGAAATGAGTTCCTGTGAGCTGAGTTGGTGTGAGATGATTTGTGTGAGATGAGTTGAGTGGGTTGAGGTGTGTGAAATGAGTTGAGTCAGGTGAGTTGAGTGGGTTGAGGTGTGAGATGAGTTTGTGTGAGATGAGTTGTGTGAGATGAGTTGTGTGAGCTGAGTTTGTGTGAGATGATTTGTGTGAGATGAGTTGTGTGAGATGAGTTTGTGTGAGATGAGTTGTGTGAGATGAGTTGAGTCGGTTGAGGTGTGTGAGATGAGTTGAGTCAGATGAGTTGAGTGGGTTGAGATGTGTGAGATGAGTTTGTGTGAGATGAGTTGTGTGAGATGAGTTTGTGTGAGATGAGTTTGTGTGGGATGAGTTGTGTGAGATGAGTATGTGTGAGATGAGTTGTGTGAGATGAGTTGTGTGAGATGAGTTCTGTGAGATGAGTTGAGTGGGTTGAGGTGTGAGATGATTTGTGTGAGATGAGTTGTGTGAGATGAGTTTGTGTGAGATGAGTTTGTGTGAGATGATTTGTGTGAGATGAGTTGTGTGAGATGAGTTTGTGTGAGATGAGTTGTGTGAGATGAGTTGAGTGGGTTGAGGTGTGTGAGATGAGTTGAGTCAGATGAGTTGAGTGGGTTGAGGTGTGCGATGAGTATGTGTGAGATGAGTTGTGTGAGCTGAGTTTGTGGGAGATGAGTTGTGTGAGATGAGTTGTGTGGGTTGAGGTGTGTGAGATGAGTTGAGTCAGATGAGTTGAGTGGGTTGAGGTGTGAGATGAGTATGTGTGAGATGAGTTGTTTGAGATGAGTTGAGTGGGTTGAGGTGTGAGATGAGTTGTGTGAAATGAGTTCCTGTGAGCTGAGTTGGTGTGAGATGATTTGTGTGAGATGAGTTGAGTGGGTTGAGGTGTGTGAAATGAGTTGAGTCAGGTGAGTTGAGTGGGTTGAGGTGTGAGATGAGTATGTGTGAGATGAGTTGTTTGAGATGAGTTGAGTGGGTTGAGGTGTGAGATGAGTTGTGTGAAATGAGTTCCTGTGAGCTGAGTTGGTGTGAGATGATTTGTGTGAGATGAGTTGAGTGGGTTGAGGTGTGTGAAATGAGTTGAGTCAGGTGAGTTGAGTGGGTTGAGGTGTGAGATGAGTTTGTGTGAGATGAGTTGTGTGAGATGAGTTGTGTGAGCTGAGTTTGTGTGAGATGATTTGTGTGAGATGAGTTGTGTGAGATGAGTTTGTGTGAGATGAGTTGTGTGAGATGAGTTGAGTCGGTTGAGGTGTGTGAGATGAGTTGAGTCAGATGAGTTGAGTGGGTTGAGATGTGTGAGACGAGTTTGTGTGTGAGATGAGTTGTGTGAGATGAGTTTGTGTGAGATGACTTTGTGTGGGATGAGTTGTGTTAGTTGAGACACTTCCGCCATTGCCTAGCTCAATGCATTAGCTTGTCCATTGTGTTTTCCTTCCATACGAAAAAAACCTCTACTTCCTCAATCTAGGCCCCAAAAAGAACCCGGTTTTTTAACCTTTTTGCGCCCAAAACCTCCAAAAACCGAGTCCTTTCCAGGACCTGGCAGAGATGGCTACAACGGACGAGTGGACAAAAAAAGAAGCACTGGTTGGGACGGATGGAAAAACCCCATAGTCGGGGTTAAGGCACCCCAACAGTCATGGTTAAGGCGCCCAACAGTCATGGTTAAGAACCAAAGCCAGTAACGGTTAAAACCCCAAAAATAGTAACGGTTAAAACGCTGTCTCCAAGGAAAGGCAACATCTTTGAACTTGTGATTCGGACCTGTTTTGCACTCTTTTTCGGCATTTTTCTTGGATCCCCAGTGGCAGTTGGGGTTTCTGGAACTGCTTTGAGGGATTTTTGGCTATGCGGAAAGTACTTTTGGTGACCTAAAATGCATCTTAGGTAGCACTTTTCGGAGCGAAGGCGTATTTTTTTTGAATTATGATGATCAGTCGCCCTAAGATCCTGCAGCTAACCCCGGAGAGTGTTCCATTCATCGCAAAAACATAGGGAACCATAGCACTCGCTGATTTTTAGTAGCACAATCTGCAGCTTTCAATATTAGTTTGATCCCAATATCTAGGTATAATTCTGTATCTACTGCTTGGCGTCACAAACTGTTTCTTTTCGGCTCTAGTTTGCAATATCCCATGGTCAGTTGGGAAGGTTAAAATTCCACCCCAACTGCACCCCCAGGATGGAATTTCCCCAAATTGGGTATATAAACTTCCGTTGTATCCCCATGTTTTTTTTCCAGAATAATCCCAGGAGACTCAGTTTTCATGGTAAACTTACCATTTTTTGACATTTTTTGTTTGTTAAGGGGTCTACCGTACATGGTTTATCTTCGATCTTCCCAAGGTCGGAAAGCGCTTGGGTGTGGCTGCTGACGCACTCCCATGAGCGGGCTGTGCAGAAGGTGGGTCCATCCTTTGGAAGGTTGGGGATTTCCCACAATACTGTGGATGGTATGGAAATTTTGGACCAGGCAGGGTAACTATTGGGAACTATAAAAAAACACTATCAATAATGGGATTACAACGGGATGTTTACCATCTAACTGGTGCAGGATTTCCTCCATCCACAGTATCATCACCCTTTTTTACCAGGAAAAACACATCCCAAAGATGGTTGGTTTACTAGGAACACGATGATGATCCTTGGATTTAGGCCTAGGTCCCACATTTTTGGACCAAAGCCAATGGTCACGTCTCGACATTTTGCAATGTCGAGTGGTTAGTTACTGGTGAATAACCACAGTTGTAAGCCATTTATACGTAATGGTATTTACATATATATACACACAATCATATATATATACATATAATATGTATATATATATATAATATATATATACATATATATTATATATATATATAGCATATCCCCATTACTGTTGGTTTCGTTTCCGGTTTGGCTTTCTTCATCCAACTAGCCAAAGATACATTCACCATAGATCCCAGCTCCGGCAACTGAGAGATACAGATACTGGCTGCTGTTGTCCTCTCGATGTGGATTTTCTGTACATGTAGCAACTGGGGATATGCTGTGTTATATATATATGATTATATGTATATATATACATATGATTATATGTATATATACATATGATATATACCATTATAAATGGCTCATACCTGTGGTTCTTCACCAGTGATGGCGCACTGGCTGGCTCAAATTCACCAATGCGCCGACCGTCCTGGTCCTGTGCAGGTGCAGAGCTACTTCTTTCGTGTCATGGCGCTCTCTGTGGACCAACATCCGTGCATGAAGGTGGACGGGGTGACGGGGTGGATGCGGGATTCATATGGTGAAATGGCTGAGATCTATAAGATTCATATGTTTTTTTTTTTTAATATGGCTGTAACAAAGGTAGATCATGGTAAATTGGTGTTTTCATAACGAGGTCTAGTGTTGGTTTTTAATGTTGGAGATGGGATAGATATGAGTCATCTACCTATAGATTCCCATTGGATGCACATCCATAAATCCCAGCGATTTTGACGGTGAGGATTCACACAACCGTACGGGGGGGATAGAAACAGGAAATGGGATAGATGTCTAGAGTCTAGATGTGGGTGGAAAAAATGATGTATCTGAAAAAATGGGCGAATGATCCCAAAATTGCCATCAACATATTGGGAGAATGCTGATAAACTTTTTTTTTTTTTTTTTTCGGCACCTATATATGTCCCGTGCGTATTTGTATTTCACGATTGCCTATTTTACAAGTCGCCAAATCTATTGACTCAACCATCCCCAACCTTGGATGGGTAGAAACTCATCATGTTTAATCCTTCATTTTTTTTGCTAGATATAAATGGAAAACGACCATAACCAACCCAAAAAATATGTGTGGACTACCAAAGATTGACTATGCAACAAGCAGTTTGGTTAGTTCCTAATCATGTGAGATGTGAATCCCCGTTACCAAGAGGATAAACAAAACCAATTAGATACGTGCAATAGCTGCATTCCAGACTTTGATCGACGTGGACGCGAAACCCAGTTCGTAAGTGGTTAGTAATCATAAGTACAAGCCACTTTAAACACATGCATAGTCATCCTGAAGTAGATAAACGAAGGAATTGAGAATATTGATGAACATCCTATATGACTATATATTGTTTCTACTTCAAGATGATTACCATACATGATTATTAATCCCTTCCTCCTAATACTAAACGTCCCCCTAATACTAAAAACAGGCATCCATCTCCAATTTCCGAAAATTTCAGTTTGGCCAATTTGACTTTTAATTGATTGATCCCCTTTAAAAAACAATTCAAAAATCAACCTACCATTTGTGGGTTCTCCCCCCTAATACTAAAAACTAATTCATCCCGGGGTGTTTAGTATTAGGGGGGCTAGTTTTTAGTATTAAGGGTTTTAATTTAGTATTAGGGGTAAGCTTCGAACTGCCATTTTTGGCAATATTTTAATTGCGTTATATAAGGAAATTTAATTGATTTTGAGATCGGAAAAAATAGTTTTTAGTATTAAGGGTTTTAATTTAGTATTAGGGGTAAGCTTCGAACTGCCATTTTTGGCAATATTTTAATTGCGTTATATAAGGAAATTTAATTAATTAATTAATTAACATGACTTCGATTTGGTTCCCTAATAATAAATACCCCCCTAATACTAAAAACTACCTGCCGTGTTTTGTATTAGGGGGGGGGGGAGGTTTAGTATTAGGAGGAAGGGATTATACATGTTACATGTACATGAAGGGCAACTCATATGTAGTGTAGGTATAATCATAGTTGCAACACAGTTCACAGTTACATGTAGAATATCATCCCCTCTTACGGTTGCAGGGTTGCGTTACTCAGTTTAGATCACTCAGTGTTGACCCAAAGCCATGTCAATAAACACTTACCTTGTCGGTTAAGTTCCAGTGAAATCCCAGAGTTTTCTTTGTTGAATTCCAATCATCCCATCCCCTCAACATTTAATACTTTGCATATGCGACCCCCACAAAAGATTAGATCCAAGATGAAATCAGAGGGTCTAGGATGACTAAGATGTCTGGGTATTTAATCATCCCATCCTAATACTAAACACCCCCCAAAATGCTCCCAATGGAATGTGGAATTTCCCTATATCCGCCATGGTTTCGTTTCGGGGGATGAAACATCTTACCGAAGGCCGTGGTCCGTGATGCCGTGCTGGGCGGGATCGAAACCTGGCTCGGGGAACTCAGGAAAACTCAGGAACTCAGTCGGCCAGTGGGATGAGTTTTCCTTATCAGGTTATTGTGGAAGATGATGTGGAAATGTGGATATCATGGGAATGGAGGATTCAAGAGACTGTGGGGATGGGGATATGATGTTCTACGAATTTTGGATGGTCTTCCAGATTGGATGATTTTCTTATGCGTGCTGCTTATACAAAATTCATCAAAATTCTATGGCTAATCATTGGTTGCTTGGTGCTGTCTCTGGTTTTGAAGATTTCCCTGAACTCATTTGCAGAGTGGTTTGAACAATTTTCATTGCATCTGGGCGCGACTCAAAACTATTTATCACCCCGCAAAAATTAGAGGATTGATAAAACGATGCTGAACCGTGTAGAACCAGATTGTAGTTCGGTTTCCAGGTGGTAATTCGATGTTTCCTTCATCATTTCGCTCGCGTAATTTCCAGGTTTCCAACGTTTCAACTACTTGGGGGTTGCGAAAAACAACTGGCCCCCATGGGTCCGACGCCTAGCGGGTCAGCCGGCCATACCGAGGAAGCAGATGCAAGTCGACCTACTGGCCTTGCAGTGGCAGGGGAAACCCAGTCGTTGACGTCGTTTTGTTGACGTCCGTCCGGCGGAGAAACATCCAGCCCCGGTGCTGGAATTGATGGGCGAAATATCAGAGGAAATACCTTACTGGTTGGTGCTGGATGATTTTCCTTGCGATACTTAAATGGAGATGACAGCCTAAGATTGGGATATAACCTCTGGTAAACGTTTACATCGCAATGGCATAAAAACACCATTCTATTAATGGGTAAATCAACTATTTCTATGGGCCATGGCTTCAATAGCAAACTGTTAGTCATTACCAGAGGGTACCTTAAATACCTGATGTTGGTGAGTCCATCGGTAGTTTTTTTTCTGTCGAGGCCGTCGATTTTTTTTTTGTCGCATCTGAGGCACGGCTTAGCCTTTGGCTTCTATGCTGACCCTGAGGTGCTCCCAGTTGGCATCAATGGTTAAGAAACCCTGAAGGGCTGTTGAAAAAAGGGTGGTACCATTGAAAATCATTGAAATATCAGATTATGACTATTGGGAGAGTACCCCCCCTAGTTGATAAAGCATGGTTTATTTGTCCAGGGTTGACATTTTATGGGGATTCGGATATAATTTAATTAGTGTTAATGTGATATGGATAGACATAATGATATAGTGATATAATGGGATAACAATCGAAACGATGGGTATGCGGCGATTCCCCCAACTTAAGCAGCTATCATTTGGGGGGTCAGCTTTGGTGGTGTAGTGGTGGGGTTGGTAAATCCCCACCAAACGATATGTCAATCAAAAACCTACCTTGGCTTAAATTGTCTTAAGAAGCTGATGGGTCCCCTAGATCACGGCTAGCATACGAAGGTCTCAATGGAGCTGGAGATGAGTATCGGGTTCCAATGAACTCACAACCTTTACTTTTCTTGTATATTGATATATGATGATATGATATATGAGTATCTGCTATATATATATATATACAGTATATATATATATGAATATCAATATGTATCCATCCCAAAATTGGGGTCAATGTGTTTGAGCTATACCGGACACTGGTTGGTGGCTCGGATCCCTTCATGACGTTCATTTTTTTGGGTGCTTTGGAATAGGCGGCTCAATCACCGACCAGTAGTATTGTTGGTGACCAACAATAACCATTAATTTCGATGAATTTGGGTGACCAACAATAAACTCAATAAACTATAGTATCTTGATAGTAGTGGCTTTAAGCGACATTTTTATAACATTATAGTATCTTGATAGTCACTTGATAGTTTAATGTTATAAGTATCTTAATATATTTTTGATAGGATTTTTTTTTTAAATATTATATCATAGTCTATAGTATCTTGATAGTGATATACCATGGCTTCATCCAAAACCTTGGACCCCCCATGACTCCAAGCACTCCAAGCGGCTCAGGGCATGGACAGCGCAGGCTCAGGGTCTTGGTGAAAGTCGTTTCGTCTCGGTGGTGGCGAGGAAAGTCAGGTTGTACTGAGTACTTCAGGGAATCATTCCAACCAAAAATATGGGATAGAGATTTAGCCTCTGGTAAATTAACAGTTCGCCATGGTATAGATGACCCTAATCGAAATAGATGGTGAACAACTGGGTTTACCTATGAAAAATGGTGATTATCCATGGCTATGTTAGTCATAACCAAACGGTATAAAGATTTAATGAAACTGAGATTCCATAAGATTGGAACTAGACATTGATTTAATGATCGGATTTAATAGGATTTATTGGGATATAGACTATAGAACTACCAACTCAACATGATTTGGGTTTGTCTGCGAATGGGAGATATCCCCATATGGCACTTTGGAATAGGTAAGATGATGATCATCCAAAAGAATGGAGTCGAACTGTTGGGTCCAGTTTCAGGCTGGGACCCAGATGTGCCATGGTGTTTTTAGCTGGATGATACTGGCGATACTTAAATGGAGAGGTTACAGCAAGATTGAGATATAACCTACCTCTGGTAAACGTTTACATACCTATGGAAAAACACCATTGGTTTTTTATGGGTAAAGCAACGAGCTTTCGACCTATGGGCCATGGCTTCCAGTTTGCAAACACCATGATCATCCCATGAAATTCACCTCTTTGAACAGGGGGATGAAGATCTTTTTGGGAACCAGCTATTTTGATGTAGCCGGCCTGGTAATTCAACATAGATAATTATAAAGAATGACCATAGACATCGTTGATTTGCCGAAGTAAACAATTGTGGTTTTCCATAGTTTTTTGTAAGCGTTTACCAGAGGCTATGAAGTGTTTGATCCACCTTTGGTGGGTACATTATACGGGAGTTCCACCAGCAATTAGCGTGGATATTCTGTAGGCATAAGATGGCATAAGCACCTACTACACTAAAAATCCATTTAAGTGGGATTTCCACTTAATGGAACCTACTATAGGAAACCATTTATATAATCCATTTCGAAAGGGGTTTTCCGATTTGGATCGAAGATGACGAGTGGAGATTGTGGAGTTTTCAGTTCACCGTTATCTGTTGGCTGCATCAGCAGCCCCCTCATCAAGCAGCCAACCACCCCAGAATTCTTGGAGTTCAATGGATCCTTTTTGGTGGTTGGGAAATGTTGGGACCCACCTGAAAAAATTCGGGATATCCATGGCTCCTGGAAACGAGTCGTGTGAAAGGAGTCGTTTTTTTGGCCACTGATTTCGGGCCCCCAAACTTAGGGCTACTGAAATCCTCATTTCCCCGGAGCGGTAAAACTAAGAGTTTTTCTGGGTTTCAACTCCTAATGAAACCCAACAAAATATAGTCAATAGTAAACTATTCGTTCTACTAATAGTTACCCTCTGGTAATTTGTTACATAGCTATTGAAAATGGCCATAGAAATAGTGAGTTTTCCCATCAATAGCATGGTGATTTTCCAGTTCGTTATGTGAACGTTTACCAGGCCGGGTACGAATAGTTACTGGATGGCATGATCCTCCACAAAGCCGTGGGAAACATCGGCCAGGCACGGCTGAGGAGAGTTTCATCGCTGGGACCTACTGGTTGACCAAGTTGCAAGACTGGTCGGGGCCCTGGGGGCCCTGGGGGCCCTTTTATTGGTGAATGCTGTGCGATTGAGATCTAAAACACCGATGTTTTTTCGATGTGTGTCATCGATTCAGAACGGAGGATGATCGGATGGATGATGGATGGATTTGTTTCACCTCAACCGGTACGATGAAAACTGGTTGGTGGTTTGGAACATCTTTTACTTTCCCATATATTGGGAATACAGTAATCATTTCAACTGACTCATATTTTTCAGAGGGGTAGGCGAAAAACCACCAACCAGATCTTCTATTTCAATCAGCACGTTGACGAAAAACCTTCCTTCGCCGCCACAACTGAGGACGCAGAACTACACCGGGGAGGTGTATCAAGCGATGGTGACCCTAGAAGGGCAAGAAGAGCCGGGGAATCCAGACCGAGCCGGGGGAACAGTTTGTGATGCCACCCCAAACGGTAGCCAGCTTCGTTGATGGCATTTTTTTAGCTCATGTAACAGAGGTTTATAACTAATGTAACTGAGGATAACTGAGTTTTATCGTACATCTAGAGTTGGATGGGTGCATCAACCGACTTGAAACTCTGGTTTCAGCATGAATGAGTGAATTGAAACTTGGAACCCACCATGATACCCCCCAAAAATGGTAACAGAGTTCATAACTGTTCATACAGACGGCTGGTTTCTGCTGAGCACTCCATGATTCCTGGCATGTTGGGATCGGCCTCAGGTTCAGTTCAACTGCAGGGCCGATACGGCTGCATCACCAGGTGCCGAGGGCTGTCCGGGTTGCTTCACAGTGAAGGCGTAGGCAGTTGGTGGCAGTTGGTTTTTCTCTGCACATGGAAACAGTGATGAGATACCAGAAAATCGTCTCAGTTGGTTTGATTACGTTCTTGATGATCAACTCTATGTTTTCTGAGATTATACCCAAGTTTTGATGTGTTTGATGGTCAAATCCAATTTTTCAAACGTTACATTACATCAAATGTTGGTATGTTTAATGGTTATTTTTTTTCGTAGACTAGATCAACATTTTGTTTTGATGGTCAAATCCAATTTCTTGAAGATTATACTATCAAAGCTTGGATTTGTTTTTTGGTGAAATCACGTCAAATCCATTATTTCCCATTGACGTTTTAATATGTTTCATGGTCAGTTCCAATTGCTCTGTAAGGTTATAGCGTTATAGCGTTATGTCTTGACATGCCTTCATGGTGAACTATGCTTCAGTCAAATCCAATGTTTTTTAAGGTTATCCCAAAGTTGCTGATATGTTTGATGGTTGAGTCATGTTACATCCAATGTTTTATGTCCATCACTGGGGCCGTTTTTTTCTTCGCCAGGATGAACATGGCTCCTTCGTCACCTACGAGTTTCTCCGCCGCAAGGTGCTGAAAAAAAGGGGCGGAAATCCTGGGTGACGCTGCTGAAAACCAGAGATTTCCGATGGTCCCTGATGGTTAATGATGGTTAATGATGGTTAAAACACCCCCTAATGGTGCTTAATGATGGTTACCCTCTGGTTATGACATTGCCAGTTTGCCATGGAAAATCCACAAAAAAATTGTAGCTAGGTAAAGCATCTATTTCGATTAGGGCCATTTTCCATGGCTATGTTAAATAACCAGATGGTATATCCGTTTCCAGAGGAAGTCTTTCCAGCGCTTTCCAGAAACCATCGTCGAAATCTCTTTCTGGGGGTTGCTAGAAAGAGTTCTCAGAGGTGTAGTGATGTGGAAAGAGGTTCGCTTTGCAATTTGTTGGAGAGGTGGAAAACAAACTTCTTTGCGGGTTGTGAAGGAGCCCCATGGATGAAACACTCTGTCTCACAATCGTTTTCAGGGAAAATGCATGCGGTTCACGCCGAGTATTTTGGAGGTAAACCCTATGCCTGTCATTTTGTTCCTGAATCAAATGTATTTGATCCGTTGACGGCACATCATTCTCTGGTTTGATCGGCCCAATCCATCTCTGGGTTCAGATTGGTTTGGTAGGTTAGCTGGTCTTTTTTTTAAAACTGGACTAACCAGCAAAGACAAGTTGGCTTTTTGCAGCGGCCGATCCAAGATTAGCCATAGTATCTTTGGCAAATATCCCGATGTTAATTGGTTAGAACCGTATAACATAAGAAAGAAGGCTTATGGGGTATTTAAGATGGACCATGGTGACATCATTTTATAACCATGGGCATTCACAGATGCTTTTGTCATTAAGAACCATCATTTTTATGAGATATCCCCCTACGAATATCACCATTTTTCTCCCAGAATTTGATGATAACATGGAAAAAATGAAACTCAGAACCGCCAAGAATTTTTGTACAAAACCCCATCAAGATGTTGTAGATCTTCCATACAACCCATTAATATCCATTAATGATCTGCAGTACGGAATTCAGTCTTGGGGATTCAATATCACAATCTCACTCCGAATTTCAGTGACTTTCCAATGAGAGCCGGTTTTATTCAACAAGCTTTGCTGGGTGTTTTTTTTTTGGTGTTCAACAAACCATTCCCGGGGCCCCAGGGGAGATCATGAGATGCGTCAGGTCTTCAAGCAATGGGCCATTGACAAAGGTTTGCTGCGTCCAGCTGCCCAGGGGGCTCGTCGTCGGAGCTTGATGAATTTTGATTGGGATATCCAGTATCCAGGATGACTGGGTCAACATGAAGCATCCCCAAGAGGACATGAAATTCCCATAAAAAAAAGTAGGTGACCAATTCTAAGTGGTTGTCACACTGATAAAAACGAATTCTAAGTGCTAATCCCTTACTATGGTCATTTTCTGAAAATATGTGTAGCATTTTCTAACAGAAATTTCCTTCCGAGGTGTTGACGCTGAGACGAAAGTCCGAAAGTCCTCTAAGATTTTGGCTGAACGAGGATGTGAAACATTAGTTGGCCAGGCAAACGAGGTGATACGGACGCAAGATGTGGAAATAGTAGGAACCCTGAGTCACCAAGTCTGAGGGTAGTGCCCATGCTATGCTGGTTGCATTCCGAAGAAGTGATTTTTCCGCTTCAACGATCTCTGAAGTTCGTCAATGGGTGGTAACTGTGGTATCTCATGGTATGTCTCAATGGGTAACTGGGATATATCACGGTATATCCCAAGTTCCCATGGTAACTGGGGTAGATCATGGTATTTCCATGTATTTCCCAAGATCTAGATTTCAAGATCTAGGAATCTAGATGAATCTAGTTACATCTAGTTACATCTAGTTCAGAGTTTCACCAACCATCTAGAAATCACCAGCAGATCATCCCAGTTCTTCGGTGTCTTTTTGTTCGGCCAGGTGGGTTGCTGCGGCATGTCTGGCAGCGGCTCGGCAGATCCCCAGTCGTTTTTCACGCATCCGACATAGCATTTATGGTGGCAAACATCCATCTATGGCTCGGAGCAAACATGGATAGACATGATAGACATATATGATATAATATATAGTAATATATATATAATATATATGTATATATACAGTATATATATTATAATTAGTTCCCTGAGATATGGATGTTCTTCACAGGGCTTGTCTATTTTGTTAAGATATATTTTTTTCCATGGGGATTCCTCTATTTCGTATCCCAAAACACAGTGATTCCTTCACATATCCTGTCCCCTTCAGCTCCAACGAGCCCAGCCCAGCCATGAGTAGGTTCTTTGACATGCTCAAATCCCTTGGTTGCGTAGGGCTAGCGTTTTTTACTTTCGAAAACCTAAAACCCTAAAACCCTAAATCCCTAAAATCCTGAAAACCTAAAAGCCAAAACCCTGAATAAAAACCGTAAATCCTGAAGACCTAAAGTCAAAATCGCTGCGTATAGCCAGTGTTTTCATTCATCCTCTGGTGACAAGTATATGGTATTGTTTGGGTGTGCTATTTGGGTGTGGGCGAACGTGGGGTTTGGAGGGAACATGTTCATTTGGAAAGGGATTAGTTGAAGGGAACATATTCTTTGGTTTCCATTTCAAACAGGCTTTTCTTTTGATTTTTCAGGGGAGTAAACGAATTTGGATCACTTTTTGGTCTCAACCGTCCATTTTCTGCGCTGCACGGGCTACCCCAATTTTGACTGACGACAACCCGGGATCTGTCCCAAAAGGACATGGTTGGGCCTGCTAACTGTGCGCCATGCACCAATAGCAGTTTTTTTTGGGACCCACAAACAGCAATTCTGCTCATTGATTTTCACTTTTGAGACAATTCAGTTAATTGTCACTTCGACGTAGATAAGCTGTTGCCAATACATGCCAGTTAATGAGGTCAAACCAATCACCCATGCCCAATTTTTATTTACTAACCGTTAATCATTGATGTTCATTGATAGTATCCCATGACATCACCATTTGACAACTTGGTTAATCCCTAAATCTGATTATACGTTGGCGTCAAAGGCACTAGATCTCCATTCATCCTCATAGGCGGAAAACTATGTCTATATCTCATTGTGTCTCATTATATCTCACTATGTCCTCAATGGTGGTTGGTGGTTTGGAACATTTGGTTTATTTTTCCATTGGGAATTTCATCATCCCAACTGACGAAGTCATATTTTTCAGAGGGGTAGGTATACCAGGTTAGTTTAATCCCCATTTTGGGTTGTATATCATGTTTTTGGAGTCGGTTTCCTGGGATTCATTGAGGATAAAACTACATGAAACAACTAGTTGACAAAGCCATTCAACTATAGATTAATATCCACCATATCCTTTATATAATAGGTAGAACCAGTTTTGGATAAACAGGATCATATTTATATCATTTGTATCTTTATAGCTAGACATAGGTTTATGCTGGTGATTACAATGGGCTGAGTAGGGTGATCCTCCACGTATTTCACTGGGGTGAAGCAACGTACTTACGATTTTTAGGGGATGAACCACCACATATAATTCCCATCAATAATTGACCTGATTACTGTATATAATACTATTGTATATATATATATATAACATCAATATTATCCTGTTAAATCCTTATTGTACTCCCATTACACTACCAAGAAACCAACCGAGTTACTCTCCGCAGTCCTCAAACGTGGTTCCGGCGCTGATTGCGGATCCGTGGTTTTTATGGTTTTTATTTCAGTCATCTTTTATTGATGTGCTTAAAACTGTTGTGCCGTGATGATTTTGTTGTTTTGCATTGAAATAGAAATGTTGTTTTCGTCCCACGTTACGCGAGGAAATTATTCATTGACCATTGAATTCTATTGGTCCAAATATTCTGCAAACCTGGATTTGCAAAACCGGGTTTTCACACAGCGTTTCGTGCTCTTGTTTTTCTCTCTTCGCGCTCTTTCAAAATAGCATCAAGAGCGTGTGGCAAGTGACAAGAGACATGTTACAGCGTAGCACCAAGAGCGTGTGGCAAGTGACAAGAGACATGTTACAGCGTAGCACCAAGAGCGTGTGGCAAGTGACAAGAGACATGTTACAGCGTAGCATCAAGAGGGTGCGGCAAGTGAGAAGAGACATGTTACAGCGTCGCATCAAGAGACGTTTTACAGTGTAGCATCCAGCGTTACGGAGCTGTGGCCCCTTTGGCCCCCACCCCCCCGGTTCCCCAAGAAATCAGGCTGTCCTTCGCGCGCAGCTTCTAACTGACGCGCGCAACTTCTAACTGACGGGCACAGCTTCTAACTGACATGCACAACTTCTGACTGACGTGCACAACTTCTAACTGACGGGCGCAACTTCTACCCTGACATGCACAACTTTGACTGACGTGCACAACTTCTAGCTGACGTGCACAACTTCTAGCTGACGTGCGCAACTTCTAGCTGACGTGCATAACTTCTAACTGACGTGCAATGTGGCAGCAAGCAACAGCAAAAACTGCGGGTCCGTTAACAGCGCCGGTTGCTCAAGCGTGGCTGGAAATCTTCGAATTTCAACTTTAGTTCTATCATTTTACCGACTATAAATGCCAATTTATAGGGGATTGTCATGGATTTTCCTATGGTTTTCCCATATTTTCCTAGGGGTTTTCCCATTGAAAACGCCATTTTTTGGGAAAAGTCAGGCCGAGCCTGGACGAGCCCATGGCCATTGGCGACTTCGGAGCTGGAGGTCTTTTTCGTCAAGTTTGTGACGTAAGACTGGTTGGTGGTTTAGAACATTTTTAATATGGATTAACCAATGGATTCCAATGGATTTTCGGGGTTGAAACCACCAACCAGTCATCATTGATAAACCACATTATTCAAGATCATTAACCATATAATAAGCATATATTAACCATTATTAACAGTATATTAACCAACCAGATAATATACCTGGTTGGTGGTTTGGAACATGAATTTTATTTTCCATTTCATATATGGGGTGTCATCCTTCCCATTGACGAACTCATATTTTTCAGCGGGGTAGGTCAACCACCAACCAGAAGATATGGAAATAATGTGGGAAAAACCATGACTATGATTTTATATCCATATATTCAGATATTTTCATATCCATAATATAGTATGTATATCGATGATATATAATATAAAGATATTGATGGGTATATTATGATGATTGATGGATATTAATGGTGATTATAGTCAAATGATTCTGGCAAAAAACAATGCCATAAACCATGTTTATATCACAAATTTATGGTGAAATTGGGGATGGTTTATTGTTTTACCCACATAAGATGGTTTGATTCATCAGACTTTCGACTGGGACTTGTCACTTTTGCTCTTTTGTTGGGACTTGGACACATCTGTTCTGAATCTTTTCTTTCGGGGCAGTGGTTTTTCGTTTTTTTATTCGAACGTTTTGTTTCAGTTGACCTTCAGCCACCTTTTTACACGGGGTGAGTTCTCCATGAATCGACCAACTTACAGGTGGCCACTACAGCAAGTGGCTCAACGAGACCGGCTTGGTCGAGGCTTTCGCCTTCGACGGCACGCATCAGGTGCAGCATTTGCCGGGTTTCGACAGGTGTCCCATCATGTCCCCAAGGGGTTGGTGAAAAATATGGGGGATCACCCATGAAATTCGCAACCTTAATGCCGTTTTGGAGAAAAAACTGGGGGAACATGATTCACCAGATGTTGGGATGCGAATCCCACGTGACCTTTCAAAGTCTCTGACTTCTGGGAGAACATGGAAACTGAAACTCCATGACTACCTGCCACCGGCCGCTACTACCTAAATGCGAAAACCATCGAAAACCAGGATGCAAGGCTTTGACATCTTTTGACTCATACCCGCAAAACCCCAAAATAGACAAAACGTACACATCTGCAGATGTCTTAATATCTCCGTTATAGATGGCACCTCTTTGAGACAAACCTTGCCATTTGGAACCTGCCAACCGTCTGGTGATTTCAACGGGGATATCTCCCATTTTGAGACATTGCTCTGACCAGACTTGAACATCTAATAAACATGGCCAATCTACCAGTTGCAAATAGGACACACATTGATAAACGCAAATAGTCTGACAATGGGGCGAAACCTTTCATTTCGTCCAACAATGGGGAACTGATTTTCAATTTCTTTCAGAAATTTGGGGATGGGTTAACACCTGTTACTGCCATATTATATGACTGGGAAAATAACCATCCAACTATATCAGCTATGTTCGGTTATGGGTACCACGTAATTGTGGTACCAGTCACCCATCTGGCAAGAAACATTCGATCGTCTCGATTCCATCTCTCTAAGTAACTGGTTGACCTTGAGAATTGCCACTCCAAAGCGGAACGTAACCTTACAACCACTAAATCATCACTTAAATGCTTATTGTTTGCTGGGTGTTATAATTCATCAAACATTCATCCATGTCAAGATCGATTTTTTCTTCGTTAAATCCCACCAGTTCTTGATGAAATCCAATACGTTTGCCGGTTTAAATGCACATTTTTTTTCTGATGAAATCCACATTTTTCAGGCTATGACTCCCTATCTTGCCGAATTGAGAATATCTCAAATATATTCAAATATCTCAAACAGCTTTTGGTAAATGTCTAATATCTCTGAAAAAACTCAATGAACAACATCAACAATCAATAAACAACACACACACATATATATATATATTATATATGTTCCAGGTTGCCCCCCCCACCCCACCCATGGTCATGGTACCCTGGACCCTCCCCTCCCCCAGCGATGCCGATGTCCAGGCCGCTGAACTCACCGACGGCCTGGTGCAGGAGGTGAACTTGGTGCAGGAGCTGACGCTGTTTTGAAGCGCCAGACATTGGAAGATCACGACGTATTGTATATGATAGGATGATATATGTATATATATATATAGTTATGTTATATATATATATACACACACGTATAATTATATAATATCATATGTAACTATATATATATATAGAGAATATGCACGGATATATATATATATATATATATATATGTATATATATCTACATACATACATACATATATATATACACGTATGTAATAGAAGTACGTATATAATATATAGATGTAATATAGATAAATATTCGGAATACCATAGTGAGCCCCGCTCGAACTCGAACTCGAACTCGAACCCCCCCCCCCGGAAAAAAAAAA